ATAGTAAACGACAATAGAATATTCCTCTCTTGGTTTTTCATCGTTTATAAGAGAAGTAAAATTTGATTACGCTGTTTTGTCATTCTCCATGTCTTAAAAACATTGCTGAAATAATTGGATTCACACGTATCACCCGGAAAGGGAATTCCCAATTTGGCTTGCTCCCAGCCTCTTTTTCCCCTCACGGTCTTCTCAAGAAAGCCGAATCGGAAGTACGGTTTCATACAAAGTAAAAGTGCAGTGCATTCGAACGAGTTATTTTATGACAGTGTTTCTGTCGGGAAAAGAAGAGGAATCCTCGCTTGAAAAACGGTAAAGATTGACGGTGAGTTTTCTGGATTCCTTGTGCATTATCCTGGTGTAATCCGTTATCGAACGCATCGATAATTTCTCAGAATTTTCAGGGATGTATCAGGTAACACAAGTCCTCGCGAGCGGAACAATGTCTGGCTTTGTACTAGAAAATACGAGCAAATAATTCTCCCTAAGCGCCTCAAAAGTGATATACGACTGCTATTGTTAACTACTTGATAAAAAGACAAATCTTCTACAGCTTTAGAGATGAAGCTGCCTTCTGTGATTCATTACAAACTTAAAATATTTGCGATTGAAATTGCGACATACTCTTACTTTCTACCGTTTTCATTTGCACTGTAGTCTTTGAGTAAGCGGTTACAATGATCATTTTATTCTATTTCAGCATTCGCTAATTCTGCAAGTCACCAAGGACAAGTTTCAAGCTCGCACCAATAATGGCTGACAAAGACTCACATTACGGTAAGGATCCTCCATTGCAATTTGCAATGAATGCAAATCGAAACCAAACCGATGATATTTTTGTGTACTTATACGAGCGTTTGCACTCGTGATTGTTCGACAGAAAATTTTGTACTTCTTGTTTTAGGTATAAGATTACTGATAAATGGATTTAGAGTGTAATCTAGTAGAATCTTGCGTCAAAGCGACCGATCGAGACATATTTAGCTTGCATATGATAGAGATTGTATTTGAGCAACACTGCACTGGGGCTTGAGTTCATGACTTCGCAAATTTCTCGAAGTTTTATGATAATTTTAGTTCAAGAAACAACGTGAAAGGTGCAATTGTTGCTCGTTGCTTCAATGTGTATGATTTGAGAAATTTGCAAAATATTAAGCACAACAATCTCGAAGGGCCGAAGCATGTGGAAGCAATTGTTTGTACCAGTAAATTTCTGATGCAAGCACACTTTAGGGAAACAGGGCATCGAAAAACTTCACAATTAAGGAATTATGTTTCTCAAGATGAGAGAATCCTCAAAGTTACTGGTTGATAAATCATTATCCTTTGGGTCTGCGCCGAAAAACATTTTTTCCCTTTGCTCATCGGAGGGACATTCCCCATGTTATTTGCTCGACTTAAACCGGAAGTCCAATAATTATTATCCTGTAATTACCTTCACCCACTATCACTTCGGCATTTTCACCATAAAATAAATATTGCTGTCCAAGCTTGCTTTAATCAGCAGAAAAAGTCATTTTCCCTAGACAGAAAAATTTAAAATAATCAAGAAAAAATAATATCAAATGCACCGTATGCCTTACAAAAAAGCTCCCTAAATATAAAACGAAGTAGACGCTTGGAGTTACCGTCTTCTCTATTCAGGCATATCAAGATATCTTCAATCTCTTGATCTCGGAATGAAATGACCACGAGTGGTTGTGCTCTTTACTTAAATCAAATAAATTATACTAAAAAATTTGAGCAGTATACTTTTGGGCGTCATCATTACAAACGATAATTCGTAATAATAGCTTAGGTTTTACGAGCCCCTCAGTCTCCTCCTCCAATCCTATCACCAACAGATAAAGCTTGCTGAGAGTAAAAAGCTTCGTTTAGATCAAAACATATCTCTGGATCAAATTCCTAAAGTTCAAACAAAAAAAGCAGGATCATTGTTGACTTAACTCAGGCTAAAGAGTTAATCTCTTGTTGAAGTGTAGCATCAAGAGATTTTTCAATAAGTTTTATTCATTATACCGGCATTATGTTCGATGCTCTGTAACTGTGGCATCATGCCCAAATTACACTGGCATAATTTATCTAACCCTACTTAAATCGTTGGTTTTCCTCCTCACAACATCAGCACAGCGCATGTCCAGTGTGGTGGAAGAGGGGCCTGCTGATCAGTCTCAATTTGAAAGAAATAAAATACTCATTCGAGGGCTGAGTGAGAAAACTTTCCCGGACGGACTGGTGAACTTTATCGAGGCAAGGAGTGGCGGAAAAGAGGTGAAGGACGTACAGATGCTGAAGAATGGAAAAGCCTTGGTCACCATGGCTGAGAAAATCAAAGGTACGTACCTTTCAATTGAATTTGGAGAGTTAGCAGGAATTTCTTTATCGTACTTCGTTGATCCGTTCGCGAGTTATCGGAGATGAAAGCTCACGCCGGCTCAGTTTCATCCTCTCAGTTTAAACAATGAACTTACTTCAAATTATATGAAATTAGCTTTTCATTAATTAAAACTGTTTTATGCTTAACTAGTGCCTGAAGAATTAAGATGCCTTATTTTAGGTGTCCCACCATTTAAAGACATTTTGAGTTTCTTCTCCTAACTATCAAAATAATCCAGATCAAAGTAATCAATTTATTTGGGAATTGTACATGTATTTAAATGAGTGTTGTTCCTCTCAGGTAGACTCCAAAAGTGGAGATCACATAAGAGAAACATTTATTGAGAATGTAATCTGTTTTCTTTAGATTTCACAGAAATAAAGACTAAATGCGAGGAGAGAGGTCTAGATGATGCAAAGGTTTCCATTCAACAAGTCCCGCTTTGCAAAAGCATCCTTGTCACAGGCTTTTCAGACATTTCGCATGATTTTATTGAACTGTACTTTGAGAGCCCTCGAAACGGTGGGGGTCCTGTGGAGAAGGTTGACTATGTTCCTAAAAGTGGTCGAGCTGTGGTTGTGTTTCAAGACGCCAAAGGTCTGTAACTCATTGATCTCTAAGATATAAGTAATTCCTTCAGGCACGAGTAATCGTCATCTGATCCTCATACATGTGTAGTAAATATTGTTGCCCTGATTTGAGCTGTACATTGACAAATTAGTAATTGATTGATTAATGGATTGGTTGTTCATTTGTTTGATTGATCGATGATCGATTGTTTGTTTGATTGCTTGATTGATTGGGTGACCTTCTCTGCCCCAATAACCCCATCGTTCTAAGTCTGTGCGTCTCTCTCAAGTTAAAGTGTCATGAAGTGTTGTGAAACGACAAACAACTTCCTTAAGGAAATTCTTGACACTTAGTTGCTTCAATCAACAGATATGGAAAGGGTGTTAACCAGACATGAAAAGAAACCTCATAAGTTTGACAAAACCCAGCTGTCAATTAAAGCTTACCGAGAGTTTCTAGAAGACGATGACGTTGATGGAGCCGAGGATTCCGGTGACATAGGAGCTACTGCAACCGGGGTCAGTGAATCTCGAGTGAGCCAGAAGCCTAAGGAGGCCCGAAAAGCTTACTTTAAGAAGAAAATTTCAGATGTTCCCGAGGAGCGCTTAATTTTGCTGCAGAAGATAAAATTTGCCGAG